AGTCGAGCTGAGCGAAAATAACAATTAGACCCTCGATTGTTGCCCTCGTCTTTTATTGGCGAGGGTAAAAGAGGGCAGAGCGTAAACGGGCTGCAATGCTCTCAAAAATAATTGCGACGTCGTATAGTGAGGGACGCGCGACGTCGGCAACTGAGGGATTTACGACGTCGGGATTTGATGGCGAGCAATGTCGCTAATTGACGGTCTGGCGACGTCGATAATTAGTGGACTGGCGACGTCGGAAACTGATGGTCTGGCGACGTCGGAAACTGATGGTCTGGCGACGTCGATAACTGATGGACTGGCGACGTCGGTAACTGATGGTCTGGCGACGTCGATAACTGATGGACTGGCGACGTCGGTAACTGATGGTCTGGCGACGTCGATAACTGATGGTCTGGCGACGTCGGTAACTGATGGTCTGGCGACGTCGATAACTGATGGACTGGCGACGTCGGTAACTGATGGTCTGGCGACGTCGATAACTGATGGACTGGCGACGTCGGTAACTGATGGTCTGGCGACGTCGATAACTGATGGACTGGCGACGTCGGTAACTGATGGTCTGGCGACGTCGATAACTGATGGACTGGCGACGTCGGTAACTGATGGTCTGGCGACGTCGATAACTGATGGACTGGCGACGTCGGTAACTGATGGTCTGGCGACGTCGATAACTGATGGACTGGCGACGTCGGTAACTGATGGTCTGGCGACGTCGATAACTGATGGACTGGCGACGTCGGTAACTGATGGTCTGGCGACGTCGATAACTGATGGACTGGCGACGTCGGTAACTGATGGTCTGGCGACGTCGATAACTGATGGACTGGCGACGTCGGTAACTGATGGTCTGGCGACGTCGATAACTGATGGACTGGCGACGTCGGTAACTGATGGTCTGGCGACGTCGATAACTGATGGACTGGCGACGTCGGTAACTGANACATGAGCTGCTATTGTAATAAGATCATTGTACGGTACATGAGCTGCTATTGTAATAAGATCATTGTACGGTACATGCGCTGCTATTGTAATAAGAATATTGTACGGTACATGAGCTGCTATTGTAATAAGATTATTGTACGGTACATGAGCTGCTATTGTAATAAGAATATTGTACGGTACATGCGCTGCTATTGTAATAAGATCATTGTACGGTACATGAGCTGCTATTGTAATAAGATTATTGTACGGGACATGAGCTGCTATTGTAGGAATTTTGTCAATTCAAGCTCTTCAAAGGTAGTTAGTTAGGCTGACAACAGAACACTATCACATATACAAATAATTTAACAGATAAAGTTTGATTTTTTTGGTTTTAGTCTCCGGGAAATTCATTTGAAAATTTTTCCTGTTCCTCTTTATTAATATTGAAATCCTAGTATTTATAATACGAAGAGTATCTTTAATGAGGTAGAGTATCAGCAAAATTGAATCAGGTAAGGTTAGGTATCATCGATAAAGTATCAATGATAAAGTAATGTGCCATCAACAAAATTTCACTAATAAGTAATGTACCATCAATATAAAGTATCACTAATAAGCAACACGTCAGTACACAGCAGCAACACAGCTGTAAAACAGCAGCAACACAACAGTAACACAGCAGCAACACAGCACTAACACAGCACTAACACAGCAGCATCACAGCAGTAACACAGCACTAACACAGCAGCAACACAGCAGCAACACAATAGCAACACAGCAGTAACACAGCAGCAACACAGCACTAACACAGCACTAATACAGCACTAACACAGCACTAACACAGCACTAACACAGCAGCAACACAGCACTAACACATCAGCAACACAGCACTAACACAGCAGCAACACAGCACTAACACATCAGTAACACAGCACTAACACAGCAGTAACACAGCACTAACACAGCAGCAACACAGCACTAACACAGCAGCAACACAGCACTAACACAGCAGCAACACAGCAGCAACACAGCACTAACACAGCACTAACACAAGCCCCACAAGAGGGCGGGGCTGGGACATCGTCGCTAGGGCTTCCTCAGTGACAGCTTCGTCTTCAGTGACACTTGCAGGGACACGTGGTCTGGGGGAGCATGTGTTGTGGACACTTAAGACGGAAACATTATACGCTCGACACTTTCTTCCCTGCCGCGAATGTAATGTTATACATGCAGGCTTTTCATTTCTTTTTAATTTTGGACCATTTTTAAATCGTACTATTTACATGCAAATATTACACGAAGATGTAAATCTTGCCTAATATGAATCTTCTGACTACCGTACTTCGAGCATTTAATTGCTTTTATTACATTTATAACCTATTGATATCTGCAACATTGTCATCACGCTCTCGATAAATTGCGCAGTTAACTATTAATCGTGAACAATATTTTGCTCATCATGACGTAATGCCGTGCATTTCCGACTATTTTAACGCTTGCTTCAATGATTTTACTTCATGAAAGTGTGTTTTTACATGAGCGTTGGTAGCAAAGCGATGCAATAAGTTCTCCAGTAAACAAACGCATTCTCGTGACTTTGTACGCCATAAGTTATAAAGGAAACAAACGCATTCCTCGTGCCTTTGTTTCATTTATTCAAGACGTCCTGTGTTAGCGCGCAGCAACTGAGGCAGCGCAGGCTTCAGCCTGTGTATTTTATTGCGGCGATTATGGAAACGGCGTTCCTAAGCGTTCAGCCAAAGTTTAGGCTGCCGAGACTCACTTTAGCAAAGTTTGGCTTTAATGACAATTGTAAGAGTTGGCGGCGTACTATACGTATGGCAGTGAACGCTATACCCTGAGTCCCACAATATACCAACCCGCCTCAGAAATTGTCCCTAACTTCGCGCGCGCCGCCAATCCCGATTTAAATGAAGACAGACACACGGACTTGGCTTGCCATTCCGTCCCTCCGTCCGTCGAATGCAGTCTGCCCAAACGTCCCCATCGATATTTAATGAAGGCATTTGTGTGCAGATCTCGGGCGATCTCTGTTGTTCGCTTGGGTCTGCATCCTGCAGACCTGCAGTCCAGACAAGGCAAGTTATGACCAGGTTCAGAGCTACCGTACTGCAGACCTTTGGTCCAAACCTGAAACGTTATGACCAGGTTCAGGGCTACCGTATTGCAGACCTTTGGTCCAAAACCTGGAACGTTATGACCAGGTTCAGGGCTACCGTAATGCAGACCTTTGGTCCAAACCTGGAACGTAATGACCAGGTTCAGAGCTACCGTACTGCAGACCTATGGTCCAGACCTGGAACATTATGACCAGGTTCAGGGCTACCGTATTGTCGACCTTTGGTCCAAAGCTGGAACGTAATGACCAGGTTCAGAGCTACCGTACTGCAGACCTATGGTCCAGACCTGGAACATTATGACCAGGTTCATTTACACTTTTGAAGGAACTTGTTGCGTACAGTCGTGTAGCGTGGCTGGGTACGGTCGTGTAGCGTGGCTGGGCACGGTCGTGTAGCGTGGTATGGTACGGTCGTGTAGCATGGCTGGGTACGGTCGTATAGCGTGGCTATACGACCGTACCCGTAGCGGTCGTGTAGCGTGGCTGGGTACGGTCGTGTAGCGTGGCTGCGTACAGTCGTGTAGCGTGGCTGGGTACGGTCGTGTAGCGTGGCTGCGTACGGTCGTGTAGCGTGGCTGCGTACGGTCGCGCATGAGCCGGCCATTGATTGCGCCGCTTGCCACTTCCATGCATTCATTAATTCGTGTACCATGCCCGGTGCTGTGGCTCGCCTGTGGCGTTGTGGCGTCGCTTTGGCCAATTGCAGCGCCGCTCGGCCGTGTCATGATACTGTCAATTTCCGTTGTCCTGAACGCCAATATTCGATTTCTGGGCCTAGTTTCCCCTTGGCCAATGCCCGTTGCAACTGTGAAAGCAACAATATCCTCTGCTGAGTGAATATCAACTTCCATGAAAATTGGCCATTCGCATTTGTGTTTTTTTTCTGATCGGAAATAACAGTTTCAAGTTAGTAATGACGCTATTAATAATAATAGATCAAAGAAATGCAGAGATATATTATCAATATTTTTGTCAATTAAAGCCGTATGTGATTGCTCTCATGCTACGCTGATAGCATCCAGGATTCAATCTGTTTTTGATGAAATCCTGGGTATCGGAAAATCACCAATTTCAGCGATGATTTTTTGCACAACTTCACTAATTTGGTGGTTTAAAATTCTGTATAGATAATTTATCATGATAAATCTCGAGTCTTAATTTTTAGAATCAATATTACACAAAATGGGAATCTAATTTCCCCAAGCTGGCTTGGAAGACAAGAATTCAGGCACCATTTGCTCAGCGTTGCCCGGAGAACAAATCTTAAGCGTCAGCTCGCTTGAACCGCTCCCTGTATAGGCGGTCTGTAATCCCGACACCCTGGGCGATATTTTTCACTTTTGCTTGTGTGTAATTTGCTGTGCCTGCACCTCACTTAATTCAATTTACTCGCCGCCCTACGACTATAACTCTCGATATATGACAGACATCAATCACAATCTGTTACCCTATCCATCCTCTAATGAGAAAGTAATCAAGTTAACGATGCTTCCATGGAATTTATGTTCCACGCAGGAAGGGTGTCGCCGACGCACGCATAAAATCCACGGAATTGCTCGTACATTTTTGGCTTGGGGCGTCATTACCACATCGATTGGCGGGCGCTTGTTTGCTGTAATTGAACACCACTGCGGTTAATCCATGCCTACATTGTCCCTCTTGCTGCTCATTTGAATTGATTTGCATTTTCACCGATACACCGAAACCTTTTGATTTTGTTCGATATTATAATTATCTCGACTGCGGCCAAAGTTTTGTAGCACTAATTTGAATTCCATTTAAGTTAGAATATCCATGCGTTTTGTTCAATTGCGGAATTGAGTAATTGCGGATTGATTGAGAAATACTGTACTAAAAAATTGAGTTTATCGTTATTTTCAATTATGGACAATTTCCCAAATAATCAGATTAGTTTTCGTTTTCAGAGATCCAAAGTTGAGGCAGTGGAGTAAAGTGTTGTCGGCATTTGTGTTGTTGCGTTGATTTTGCCCGTCAGTGTCACAAAATAACCCTCAGAGGGAATTGATTATTTCAGGTGATATATGAACCACTCGATGCGGTGTTGTGTGTCACTACGAGAAAAGTGCTGTGAAGCTTGCTTATTATGAATATATTATTGCAATATATATGAAATATAAATTGAAGTGCCAGTGATATCCCAGCTCTTAAGTGTGCCCTAGGCTTGACTCACCTAGCAAGTGTGCCCCAGTTCGCATGTGTGTCCCAGTTGTGACCCACCTAGTGACCCACCTAGCAAGTGAAGCACCTACCGCACTTAGTGCCACCAGGGGGCGGGGCTCCTTGGCAGCCCCCTGCCCGGCCATCACGGTGAGTATGGAGCCATGAATGTATTATACAACCCTAACTAAATTAAATATTAAATTAAGTATATAATCATTGTCTCTTTATTGCATTTGGATTTATCTGTAAAATGATTGCGCAAAAGAACGGCAGACATTGTTCCCGACTCCATTATTCTGCACGACACTTGAGTCACGACATTGTTCCCGACTCCATTAGTCTGCACGACACTTGTGTCACGACATTGTTCCCGACTCCATTAGTCTGCACGACACTTGAGTCACGACATTGTTCCCGACTCCATTAGTCTGCACGACACTTGAGTCACGACATTGTTCACGACTCCATTAGTCTGCACGACACTTGAGTCACGGCATTGTTTTCACTTGAGTCACGACTTTGCACTGGCAGTTTTGTTGTTGATATTTGTTGGTGACGCAGCAGCTTGGATTGCTAGTGACAAAGAAGTTGTGTTCATTTTTGAGTTTTAAGTTAAGTTTGTTGTTTGTTTGTGAAGTTTGTGTGAGGCGACTGTAGTGCTGATGCAGATGCCGTTGGACTCATTAGACGTCTGACGTTGAAACAACGTTCCTTATAACGTTGTTCATTGAATTAATTTAAATTAAACGATGTTTTAAAGTAATTTGCCCGGTGAGATGTGAATGTTTGAGGTGCTGCATGCTGTAGCAACGCGCCTGTCCAGCTAAAGCGAAGCTTGTTTATTAAATAGCCTCGAGTTTGTGAAACTGTGCAAAGTGCGTGTTTGTGAACAAACTGTGTTGCTTTATGGAAATTGTGTGCATTGTTTGCTTTGTATAAAATGGAAATAGAATATTCTTTTTGCTTATTTCATATTATAAACATCAATGGATATTAAAACAGGGCAAATATTTTCCTGATTTTGTTCTGGCCTCATGGAACAAAACAGTGACTTATAATACCTGACATCTCCATCAATGTGATGAACATGGCCACCACATGCTGCTTATGGTGACAATACATCACACGTGTTGGTGTCTTTTACGACATGCAGCAGTGGGACTGTCATCATCTTTACGATGCAGGGATGACGTCGTCGTGTACGACACACGTCGTGTACGACACACGTCGTGTACGACACACGTCGTGTACGACACACGTCGTGTACGACACACGTCGTGTACGCTGCTGCGACGGCGTACGGCCGCGCGTCTCTTGTCAGGCGCGTCCCTTAGCACGTCTCATGCGTCACGCACATTGTACGCTGTACGCTGACCCACGTGGCACGCCGTACATGCGTATCTTTTGCCACGTATCTTACGCACCATTTTACCTGTGCAGTAATGGCTTCGATTTGTTACTAAGTTGCCAGGCTGATGTTGGAGACGCTGCAGTGGCGTCTGATAAACACCAGCGCCGCGGTCTAGTGTACTGTTCAAGTTCTCATGTTGGGGTGATATTATTATTTGACTACCAGTTTTGCAAGGGAAATAAAAATACATTGAAACTTTGAACGCTAAGTAATAAATAATTTCTCCCGCCAATTGTTTCTCGTCAACCCTCAGGGCGGACTTCTGTCTATGCTCGTCAGGTGTCCTATGGGATCTCAGGTTCCTATGGGGATTATTCCTGAACGCCCCACCGCTGAACTCGCGGTGTCTGACTGCAGGTCTCAGTTGTAGGGTTAAGTTATTATGTAGGTGGGATTCCTTACATTTCCCTCTTATCACCTGTCCCTCCTTGTCACCTGTCCCTCATTGTCACCTGTCCCTCCTTGTCACCTGGCCCTCCTTGTCACCTGTCCCTCCTTGTCACTTCGTCTCTTTGAGATGCTAACGCTGCTTCTTTCGCGCCAGCTTCAGCGGGATGGATAATTGAGACCTTCCGCCTCGTCGGTGATGTTCATCTTGACTTCAGTGTGAGACAGCAAAATAGCTGTAGCACTAGTAAACTTGTGGAACGAAACTATGTATTTTTTTAGGCAGCTGAGTAATGGCATTACTGATCCAACTGTCTCATAATATTTAATCCAATTTTATTCTAATGATAATCAAGCCTCATGTTTTTAAAGTCTTAAGCATCTGCCTGGTAGGATTAGGATGCTCTTCAGGATGCACTAACCAACCACAAACTCTACACAAGAAGCGCTGCTAACGATAAATTTAAGAAATCTGGCGTTGGTGCGGCAGTAAAAGCCCACTTAGCTTGTAGATAAAGAGATAAGCAGACACGCTGTGGCTATAAGCCACTTACCCCAGCCGTGGCCGCCAGGGAGCTGTGGCTTGAGCCTGCATCAGACCGGCCAGAGTCCGCTTGAGGTCTAGCCGGTCTAATGCTCCAGCATATTCACTGCTTGGGGTCTAGCCGGTCTAATGCTCCAGCATATTACTCACTCGCGGTCTAGCCGGTCTAATCACCAGACCACTTAACAGGTACAGGTTCCCCCCGTCGTGTAGGCTTACCTTATCCGCTCATCTCGATCAGCTGAGGTTTTTAGGTCCGTTTTTCATGATCCGTAGTCATGTATGTCTGCATACCGTGTACATGATACGTAGTCATGTATGTCTGCATACCGTGTACATGATACGTAGTCATGTATGTCTGCATACCGTGTACATGATACGTCGTCATGTATGTCTGCATACCGTGTACATGATGCGTAGTCATGTATGTCTGCATACCGTGTACATGATGCGTAGTCATGTATGTCAGAATCGTGGGGGTATAGCACGTAATAATAGCAGCTAATAATAGCAGTTAATTTTTAATAATAACAATTATAAATATTTGTTGTCTACCACGAACTTCAGCTAAGATATCAGCCTGCAAATTAAGTGATAAAATGTTTTATATCCAAATTGTCATCTCGACTTTATTAAAATTTCATGAATATCGAAATTTCAATTTAGCGCACCGCCATCATCAGCAGTGCACTGCACTGCCATCATCAGCAGTGCACTGCACCGCCATCATCAGCAGCGCACTGCACTGCCATCATCAGCAGACATCACATTCCTCACATCACATTCCTCACATCACATTCCTCACATCACATTCCTCACATCACATTCCTCACATCACATTCCTCACATCACATTCCCCACATTAAACAAGAAGTAACTCACCAGCCATGTGCTCACCTCTCCCTTATGCTTATAATCTAGCCACATGCCACACGCCACGCCACATGCCACACGACACACTAGTTGCCACCCACCATATCTCCCGCCACACTAGTTGCCACTACCATTTCTAGTTGCCGTCTAGTTCGCCACACTAGTTGCCACCACACCGTGCACCAAATCATCAATAATAATAAGTATTAGCAAATATCTTGTCACATGCCGAGCGTGCCTTTGCCTTGACGCGGCCCTGGCACTGCCTTGACACCCTCCCCCTCCCCTGACTACCCCTGGCACCCTCCCCACCTGGCACTACTCACGCTGTTGCCGACTGCTCATAACTCTATCGGGATATTCACTAATTGTGTTATGCTCGTGTGGTGTTAGTTGTGTTACAATATTTTGTGTATATCTATTGTTCCACACTTGTGTTGCTCCGATTGCACTATAATCTTATTTGTGTTTCTATTGTTCCATCACTTGTATTTTCAGAATTTCACTGCCACATGCCATTTACTAATATCCTCATTGTATCTATTGTGCAAGGGATCAAGATGGTGGTTAAGATGCAACTGTGGTTAATATTGCTCAACATATCGGACAAAAAGAAGACTGATTTTAAATTCAAAGGCGGTAAAATTTCAAAGATTTCAAATGTCGGCAATGACTAAGCATTTACTCAGCGTTCGATGGCAGTAAACTATTTCGCAGAAATAGTTATGTCAAACACAGCTCAGTTACGCTCGACGTGACCGCGCGTGACGCATCTTGGCGACGCACGAGACGACGCTGCGTCCGCATGACGCATGCCTCGAGGAATGTCAAGTGAGACGCACCTGCGTGAGGTATGAGGAGGTATACCTGCCTGACCAGGTGCGTAGAGGTATACCTGGCTGACCAGGTGTGTAGAGGTATACCTGCCTGGCCAGGTGTGTAGAGGTATACCTGCCTGACCAGGTGTGTAGAGGTATACTTGCCTGACCAGGTGCGTAGAGGTATACCTGCCTGACCAGGTGTGTAGAGGTATACCTGCCTGACCAGGTATGTAGAGGTATACCTGCCTGACCAGGTGCGTAGAAGTATACCTGCCTGACCAGGTGCGTAGAAGTATACCTGCCTGACCAGGTATGTAGAGGTATACCTGCCAGGCCAGGTATGTAGAGGTATACCTGCCTGACCAGGTGCGTAGAAGTATACCTGCCTGACCAGGTATGTGTTAAAATTTTTACGTTGCCGCCGCCATGCGCACGCAGGTTCTGATGCGTCAACCGGATCGCTGCCAGCGGCGCTGAGCTACACGACGCCGCGTCACTGACAAGGAATGCTGCGAGTTATTTATACGTGACTATTATTACAATATTTATTTATGCTTGACAATTATTGAAATAGTTTGTTATTTATAATACCTAGAGTATCAATGTGTTATTTATATATCTCTGCCTATTATCAAAATAATAAATAATATAATATATCATCACACATATTATGCGGTGCAGTGAGACCTTCCAGGATTGTGGTCTATCACTGTGAAAGGAAGGGAAGATATGAAAGATAATAATAACTCAGAATAAGTGAGCTGCGGCTAGAGTTTAGTCTCATCAAGATAGATCTTTCTTCATGGCGTTACCAAGACTTTTGACAGCCTAGCCGTTAGAGTTGAGACGTGGCAACTTATTTTTGGGATCTTCTAGCGACGGCTAAATATGTTGCTGAGCACGAGTCGTGCTCGTTCGTTTCCCCTCCCGAATATCAGAAAGAAGCAAGTTGGTGGTTGGAAACGTCAGACTGCCCCTCGTGACATCGATCTCAGGTCGATCGATCACCTGCCCTCTGGCAGCTGGGGTATAGTCGACTGCGAAGGCGGTGCATCAGCATGGCCATTTAAGGAGACGACAAAAACTCTTCATAAAGTCATCACATTACACA